GTGCATGCAAAATGCAAGTTTTGTGCACAAAACAGTGCGATGATTCTTTCATGGTATCAGAGCAAGGTTAAAGAAGCTAGTAATTCTGCTTCCCCGGCGGGCGGCAGCCTCGCCTTGGCCGCCCGCCGGACCTCTACACACTAACCGTCTCTCTCTTCCTATGAAGGAAGAACCCTAACCATCCTTCTTCTTCTTCTTCGTATCATATATTATACAGAGAGAGAAGGTCTTGGACGTTTATTCTAATCTCGTTTGATCGTATCTATCTGGTTTCAATCTCTTTCTCTGTGATCTCTTCATCATCATCATCATCATCATCATCATCATCAATGGCTTCCATTTCCAGGCTCTCAAATCCGAACCCTATTTATTCATCCACTTCATTTAAGCCCAAATCTGTCCAGCTTAAATGTTTGATCGACTTCAATTGCAAAACTACTTTTGATCACAGGGTTTCATCTTCTAGGCTATCCATCTCTACTAAGCCTGCTTCCAGCTTCTCCTTGTTGTAAGTTCTTCACAAAGTTCATCCATCATTATATTTTCTTATTTTATATTATACTATATTGCGGAAACATACACGTCAATTAATACACTTACATATTTGCTCATATCATGTGGTTACTGTTTCACCCTGATTATTTATATTTACTTATTTGTTTTCCCCTTTTTCACAAACAATATTTAGCTCATACTTTTGTGAGTCGCTCAACTCAATCCCTTTCTGCTGATCTTATAATTTCATTTTCTTTGTTCTTCTGATCTCTGATTTCCATATTATTAATAAGTGGAAAAAAAAAAAAAAGAGTATTTTTTCCTTGTACAGATCACATCAGATCTCTCAGTTTACCTTTTTATTTGCTCAGGAGGCCATTTTGTATGCTCTTAAGGGTACGTTTGGATCTTGGATTTGTAAAGGAATTTGTGGAGTGGAGGGAAAATAAAATTTATTAGCTTTTACTTCATTGACTTTTTCCTCCCCTTTACTATTGCCTCTACAAATCCCTTTCTCCTATATTCAAGATCCAAACACAATCTGAATGTTTATTTATGTTTATCATCATTTGAAGTTGATAAACATTAAAAACACATGGTGGTGTGGTGATTACAAGGCCCCGAGTCTCTTATTATAGGAAACCATGAATTATGTGGTGATTGCAAGGAATTGAATTGGTCTAGACAATCTTGTTCGGTTCCAATTATTGAGATTGATGCCTTTATAAATTAAACATGAGATGCAAATAATCGTACAGCAGTTTGTATAACAAAAGCATTCTAATAAAAAAAAATTAGAAATTCTTCTTATTATTAATATAAGGAATGTTATTTTCCCCATCAATTGTTACTTCTGATTGTTGTGGTAGTAAGTTTTTCTTCTTCTATTGTATTTCTATTTGTTGTCCTCCTCTTTGTAAAGATGCACATTTTATATTGAATAAGTTCTGTTCTTGAACAGTGTCAGATGTTCCCAATTTGATGGAAATGGAGGCCAAATCAAGAAAACAGTTCTTCATGATCTTTATGAGAAAGAGGGGCAGAGTCCCTGGTACGATAACCTATGCCGCCCTGTTACAGATCTGCTTCCATTGATTGCAAATGGTGTCAGAGGTGTGACAAGCAACCCAGCGGTAATTACATAATTTGCTTGTTAAGTTTTTAGCCTGTTCCACTTCTTTAAGTAGTTTTTTCTTGTCATGAAAGCAAAAAGGAAAGGAAAAACAAATAAGTTAGCATGGTTACATTACCACAGTTGTTTTCCACACATTTGTTTAGTACTTTTTATTCATGATTTGTAACTTCATGTAATAAGCTGTTAAATAAATGCCATTGCAGATTTTCCAGAAAGCAATATCAACTTCAAATGCTTACAATGAACAGTTCAGGTATTGTTGATTATTTATTTTTTTTAATAACAGGAGTGAATTATATAACTAATAAAAACCGCATGGTAACATAGAGGCTCCTCCAGTTAGCACAGAGGTAATTGCCTCCTAGGACAGAGATTCCCCTGCTATTATTCTAAATTCTCTGGAGATGATAATGAGAGGGAAGGGGGGGATTGTAGCTTAAGGTTTTGTGTCACCACAACTGCATTTTTGTCTGAAACACATGCTGGGGGTGGTAAGAAAATTCGTGAGTTTGAGGTGCTATGTTTTCTATGTAAAATCAAGTTATTCTGAAATTATGCGATCAGTGGCAAGTGATTGGCTTGTAAGGGGTATTGTAAAGGTTTCACTTTTCATCTAAGAGCTCAGTTGGCTTTGTTGTGTTAAGCAACTTCCGATATCTAGATGTTGGGAATGTTTTTGTTTTTCTGAGTCCCAAAACTGAAATACTAGTTCAGTCCGACAATGTGTTTAACGTATATGGCTGGGCTTTGCAGAGAACTTGTACAAGCAGGGAAAGACATTGAAAGTGCATACTGGGAACTTGTGGTGAAGGACATTCAAGATGCATGCAAACTTTTTGAGGCAATCTACGATCAAACAGATGGTGGTGATGGCTATGTTTCTGTTGAAGTCTCTCCCAGACTTGCTGATGATACTGTAGGGACTGTGGAGGCTGCAAAATGGCTTCACAAGTTGGTTGATCGTCGCAATGTCTACATAAAGATTCCCGCCACAGCTGAATGTATCCCTTCAATCATGGAAGTCATATCATGTGGCATAAGTGTCAATGTCACTGTAAGTTCATTTTATGCATCCTAAATTTGGCTAGATTATGCAACCTATTAAATTGAAAAGGAATTGGTTCTTTTGATAACTGTGTTAGCTTTTGGTGAGTGGAATGATCCAAATACATTTATTTTTACAATGATATGAAATTTTTTAAAGTGAATTCATGAAATTAGTCCTTTAAGTAGCAGTGGATTTCTTTTTTGGGTAAATCATCACTTGTGTGTGCTTTGAGTTTTTCAAGTCTGGAAAAATGATCTAGAATGTAGCAAGCCCTGATGATCCCTTTTCGTATAATTTGATTATAAGCCCTGTATGGTTATGGTATTATTCCAATTGTAAGTTTCTTTGTTGTATGTGGGCAGCTCATATTCTCTCTGGCTAGATATGAAGCAGTAATTGATGCTTACTTGGATGGCCTCGAGGCTTCTGGGCTAAGTGACCTCTCCAAAGTCACAAGTGTTGCTTCCTTCTTTGTTAGTCGCGTAGACACACTCGTTGACAAGATGCTTGAGAAAATTGGAACCCCAGAGGCCCTTGATCTCCGAGGAAAGGTATATAAAATACATGGTTAAACTTCTGTCTCTGAGTGATTGGAAACCTGGAACTTGAATATATGCTCATGTCATGGAAAATTTTACTGTTTCAGGCTGCAAATGCTCAAGCAGCTTTGGCATACCAGCTCTACCAGAAGAAATTCTCTGGTCCCAGATGGGAGGCTTTGGTGAAGAAAGGTGCCAAGAAGCAAAGGCTGTTGTGGGCATCCACCAGTGTTAAGAACCCAGCTTACTCTGACACTCTATATGTTGCCCCTCTCATTGGACCTGATACTGTGAGAAATGCCGTTTATTTAAACTGACTTCCAGATTTTTTTTTCCCTCATCTATATTGTGAGTGAATGTTAAATCTCTCATTCTATTTGTAGGTTTCAACCATGCCTGACCAAGCTCTCCAAGCATTTATTGACCATGGAACTGTCTTGAGGACAATTGATTCAAATGTATCTGAATCTGAAGGCATCTATAGCGCCCTAGAGAAGTTGGGGATTGACTGGGGATATGTTGGCTCTCAACTTGAACTTGAGGGAGTGGATTCTTTCAAGAAGAGCTTTGACAGCCTGCTTGATAGTCTCCAAGAGAAGGCAAACTCTCTTAAACTCGTTAGCCTGTAAGCAAGCATTTGTGGGTTTCTTTTGGTATTGTAACGCCAACTCAATAAAGAATTTTGCAGGGTTCTTTTCCTGCTGTAAAGGTCATTGAGGTGTGTGCTGTAAGATGATAATAATGTATACTTTGCGGATTTTTATCAGCTTCAATGCAAGCGAGAACTTTTATTAGATGTGGTCTCTGCTTTTGGGTTTTTGCTTGTTTGATATGTTTTTTGGGTGGAGGATGAGAAGTGAGACAAAATCATCTGATGGCCATATCAATGTGTAGTAACACAGGTTGGAGGACATTTTTAAGTGAAAGAAAATGCACTTCGCTAACTCACTGCGGAGGCAATGGGTATGGTTGTGTGTTCTGCAGTCCAGGGTACAAGGTTTGACGAGTTCATGATTAGATCAGAGTAGGGGTGAGCAGCGGATATATCGATTCGTCAAAACTGACCGAACCGAACCGATCCGCCGCATTTTGGACGGATGCGTGATGACGAGCGGACGGTTGCGGATTGATTTTCTCCAATCCGCCAATTTGGCGGATGGATGGCGGATTTGAGATTTATTTGGCCGCAACCAAACCGCCAAACCACCAAACCACAAGCACTCCTAATAATTTATAAGATTTTGTGTATTCAATTTGTTTAAATATTATGTTTGTGTTTTCAATTGAAAAAGAGTTTAAATATTCTGTTGAAAAAAATTTTTTAACTTGAATATATTTTTTGAATTGAAAAAAATAAACGTATTATTTATCTATATTTTTTGATTTTTAAATCTAAATCTAAAAATAATAAATATAAAATATGATATATGTTGGTAGGTTTTTGTTTTCAAAAACATATGTAGATGTAACAATAGAAAGACATACAATCTCTATTACTGTTTTGTTCATGGTTTTGGTAGTTTGAATTATTATTATATTTTAAAAATCACAGATTGTAATACTTTATGTGGATGAATCATGCTGTGATTATAACATGTAGATGAGGCATGCAGTGATCGTGATATTTTAAAGTTTTAAACTTTCTTTCTTTAGATAAGGCATACAGGGATTATAATACTTTTTTAAGTCATTGACTGTAATACTTTTCTTTTTCTTTTTTTTTTCTTTTTTGAGGAAGTGCACAAGTTGAATTATGTTGAAAATTTATAAAATTTTAAACCGCCAAACCGATTCGCATCCATCCGCCAAACCGCCAATCCGCTCAATCCACATCCGCCGGTATACTAAACAGATATTATACCAAACAGTACACAAACTCTCAAAATAAAAAATAAAAACTATAAAAAAAAAAACTCGAATAAGTTAGTACCAAAGGAAAATGTTTGGTAGCCTAAAATTTTTTGGCTCAAATGGCTCAAATCTGTCCAAAACGACGTCGTTTTACACTCAAAACGACGCCATTTTGAGTGATTATTTTGAGTGATTTGAGGTACAAAATTTTAAACTACCTAACATTGTTGAGTATCAAATAACTAGTGACTGGAGTGGAGAACTTGAATGGAAGTGGGGGACATGGTATTCGATGTGTAGTGTACGGTTGGGGACCATTCTCAACTCAACAACGTCTTTTTTTGTAGACACTGGAATGGAAAAACAACTATGTGGAGTGAAACTGAAGTAAAGAGACTTAAAAAAAGAACCCCAAAACACAGGCCACCTTCAGAGCCATACGTCAGCGCTTCGAGGACCGAAATGGAGAAGTTGTTCGAGGTTTTTCCTAGCACCGACGCCCAGAAGGTGTCATTGGCAGCATTTACATTTATTAGTCCCTTATTCTATTTTTCATTGTCCCAAAATATTAGTCCCTTTTCAAAAATCAAGTACAAAAATAATATAAATTTCCCATTTTGCCTTTCTTTTAAATTCATAAATAATATAAAAAGTACAATTATGACATTGATATTCTCAAAAAAGTGTACTAGCAAAGGGTAATTTTGGAAAATCAACTTTTTAAAAGTATAATAATTGTACTACTAAAAAAAGTTGAATTCCCCAAAAGGGACCATTATTTTGGGACGGAGGAAGTATATATAATTATAATATTTTGATATCAAATATTATGAATATGCTTTTAATGCAAAACAAATATGAGCACGAGGAGAGAGTGATTGGCATGCACGCAAAGGAGGAAAGCCAGCCTCAAATGGGTGGGACCCACCTAAAACAGACCTCACAGACAGACATCAATTGAATACCTTCCTTTCCTTCTGGTTTAACCACTTTGATATCCATTTACACACATGTACACACTCCACTTTTTTTTTGATCTTGAGAAATACAGTGCTGTTAGGTAGCTCGAAACTTCATTGATCAGAATGGTTCAATTGCTCAAAATGATTTTATTTTGGGCAAAAAAAAAATTTTCTTTATCTTTTCTCTTAATTAACTTTTATTAAATAATTAATAAAAGAGTTAATTATTTAAAAGTCCAATTTATAAATGTTATGGTAGCTTAAATCTTATCTAGGATTTTTTGAATCAATAAGTCTTATTTAGTAAAATTAAGAATATTATCATTTTTTTCTAATTTTTAAAATTAAGAACGTTATCAATTTTACATAGTAATATTTAAGATAATTGTTTCACTAACTGATAAAAAAAAACAAAGCATAAGAAATTAAACGTTTTTGTTCTTGTACTTATTGGTTTGATACAATTATCCAATAAAACCAAAAAATTATCAATTTTTTCTAGTTTTAAAACTGAAAACATTATCATTTTTTATTTTTAAAGTTTTTTTTTCTTTGCAGTTTTGCATATCAATGTTTCATCATCATACTCTTTTATAAATACAAAATTTTCAACTTTGCACCAAAAAAAAATTAGTTTTTCAATTTTTTTAAAAAAAACATATACACATAATTTTTTTTTAGTTTTTTTAATGTGAAAGTTGATATTTTGAAGTTTTAAAAATTAAAATAAATGTCAAATCATCATATTCTTTTTTAGATAGTCATATATAATGAACCATCATTGTTTAAAGGATAATTTCGACTATTAAAAATTTAATAAGACTTGAAGGTCTCAAAAAAAACCTTAATTATGACTTAATAGACTAAGACTTGTGTATAAATAAATCCTCCAAAAAATATATATATATATTTTAAATGAGCCATTTAAAGGGTTGGCTGGAGGTTGAGGGTAGCTGGAGGTTGTGGCCAAAGGTGGGCCAGACACGACGGAGAGGGAGGAGTGCACGAAATTTTGTTTTCAAAATAAGTATTACGCAATTTGGTTACGTTTTCTTTATTGAAACAAAAACATTATCAAACATCCACTCGTCCGAACTCTTATCTTGTCGTTCTCCCTTCTTGTTTATGGTCTATAACATTCATTCAAAACCCAACACCAACAGCTCCTCAAGCCTCCTCTTTCCCAAGCCAACCCTCAGCCATAGATCAGAAATCTAATCAGATTAGATCAGATCCAATTTATTTTGAATCTAAACCCAGTAATAAACAGGATCAAGGGATGCTGCTGTAACTAAGTCATAATAACCATTTGTGATGTCTTGGTAGAAGCTTTTTTTGAGTCTTTTTTGATAATCTGAATCGATCGTATTATAGGGTTCATTAAATAGATTATCCATACAAAACATTAAATTGATTGAAAATCTATAGCTTTATAACAAAAACACATTTATTTTTTTAAAAATAAACGGTTAACATGATTTTGATAATTTTTGTAAAACAATTTAAATGTAATCATAGGGTCGCGTATTTTTGATTAACTTCATTTTTTGTATGAATAATATACTCAATAGATTTTACAATATGAACGGTTCAAATTATCGAAAAAGACTCAAAAAAACTCTCCACAAGAGCACTACAGATCCCTACTCAGATTCCCCAATCCAAATAAAAAAAACCATTCGGATTCATATTTGATTAGATCTTTCTTAATAGATTTGGGTCGTGTCAAATCCACACCATGTTACCAGTGTGCAAGATATATTTTAGATGAGTAATGATCCATCCCCCTTTTTTCCCCACCCCCTTTGACCCCTTCTCTCTCTCATTGGTCACCTTTTCTTTTTCTTTTTCTTTTTTTTCCTGCTCCACCAATCACCCCCTGCCACGTGGCAAAGGGGGGTGAGGGGGTGACCCCCAAAAGGAGGTCCCAAGCATTATTCTATTTTAGATTACTCTTGTAACATCATAGTAAGAACACTAGACACTAATTACTAATTTCATCATATCACTTTTAACATTTTCACTTATATTTCTTTGACACTTTTTTATATCAATCTCAACATCAACAGACACTAGTTAGCAATTTGTCAAATAAAAATAGGATGTTAATAATGAGGAAAATCGATGTCTCCACCGATTTAAAAATAGGGTGTTGAAAAATAGGCTCGAATGGTTCAGCCCTACCTACCTTACCTACCTTGAGGGTGCCATTAAGGTATGAGAGAGAGAGAGAGAGAGAGAGAGAGAAGAGAAGGATGGGGACTGAAGTCTGAACTGGGGAGGGCACGAAAGAGTAGGAGTAGGACAGCTTTGAAGTATGAACAAATGGCGTTGTACCTGCATTTACAACCACCAATCCTACAGAGCTAATTAAAGCCCATTAATGCTGCTTTCATTTCTCCTTGCATTCTCACTGTTATTCTCTACTGTCTACTCTACTTTGTATGAGAAACTGTGTAACGAATAAGTCACATAGTTAAGACGACGTGGTGTATCTTTTTATTAATTAATTAAAATGAGATCTGAAAAGTTACTTTTTACTTGACTTAAAGTGTTGAGTGTTCGACCACATTAAATTTCAGTCTTACTTTTTATTAAATGTCAATTAATAAGTAAAAGAGTGACACTACCATTACATAAAATATTTTTGTCACTTAGTACTGTATCTGTGCACACTCTCTCGACTCCTCTCCTCTTCTTTTGGTTCTTCACGTGTTGGTTACATCACCCTTTATTATGATTGTCTGCTTTCATATATCACCTAATTACTATTTAATTTTATACTGCTCTCTATACCTATCTGTATATATCTACATGATGAATAAATGAACCACGTTCATCATCATTCATCATGATGGTAAGCCTGCCATCGAAATTACTCTCTTCTCTAACCGTGCTGATAGATGACCACTTTAATTGGCTCCTTCAGTAGTTGTTCATCTCTATCTAAACTACTACCACTGGATATTTAGAACTTGTGTGTGCAAGCTTCTTCAACCAACAAACACTACTACTCAAAAACTGGATTGTTACTGTGGCCTTGTAGTTTTGACTTGAGGAAGGGAGGGAGGGAGGGAGGGAGGGAGGGAGGGATATGGGTACCAGAGAAATTAAGTCACCGGAAGTCCTACCGGCGGAGACTCCTCCTGCTGCTGCTGCAAAGAGGAATTCAGAAGATCCATATGATCGGAGAAAGAAGCTTGGAATTTACTTCCTTGAGTCTGATAATGCTCGGCGGACTCCTTTAGGTGGTGGTTATACCGCCGCTGGAACTACACCCGTTAACATCCACGGCAAGCCTATTCCTGATCTTTCCAAGACAGGCGGCTGGATTGCCGCCTTTTTCATTTTCGGTAAAAAGAAGTTTAATTTGCCACTTTCATTTCTTTTTTCTCCGATCCCTTGTTCAAACGTTACTAGAAACTTCAGAGATACTCACCAGCTATTCTTGAGGGTGGCTTCCAACCACAATTTTACCTTCCTAGTTGGGTTCAAAAGGGTCTACCTACGATGGGTTATCGATTATCTTTAAAAAATATAAAAATAAAATCTTGAGAGATACTCTTCTAGTACTGCTTATGTCTTCTTCTTCTTCTTGTTTGTTTGTTTTAAATTTTGTAAGGGTTTGTTTGTTTGTTTGGATCGTGTCCAGGAAATGAAATGGCAGAGAGAATGGCATATTTTGGGCTGTCAGTGAATATGGTGGCATTTATGTTCTACGTTATGCACCGACCTTTCTCAAGCTCGGCAAATGCAGTTAACAATTTCTTGGGAATATCACAAGCCTCCTCTGTTCTTGGTGGCTTCTTAGCCGATGCATATCTCGGTCGATACTGGACTATCGCAATTTTCACCACTATCTATCTAGCAGTAAGATCTATTCTACGTCAAATCTATCAACTTAAAAAAATATACTATACTATACTACACTATACTATGAGTAGATTATTTCTAAATTTATTTATTACTTTGGTTTGGTTGATTATTTAGGGATTGACAGGAATAACCTTATGTGCCACAATGAGCATTTTTGTGCCAAACCAAGATCAGTGCGATCAGATCGCCCTTCTTCTGGGAAATTGCGAGCCTGCAAATTCATGGCAGATGCTTTACCTCAACACGGTTCTTTACATAACCGGATTTGGAGCTGCAGGTATAAGGCCCTGTGTTTCATCTTTCGGGGCCGATCAATTTGATGAAAGAAGTAGAGGTTACAAGTCTCACCTGGACAGGTTTTTCAACTTCTTCTATCTTTCCGTCACCGTTGGGGCAATCATTGCCTTCACGGCCGTAGTCTACATTCAGATGACGCATGGCTGGGGATCAGCATTTGGTTCATTGGCCATAGCCATGGGGATGTCAAACATGGTCTTCTTCCTAGGTACTCCCTTGTATAGGCACAGGTTGCCCGGAGGCAGCCCTCTGACTCGCGTTGCGCAAGTCCTTGTTGCTGCATTTCGCAAGAGAAAAGCTTCCTACGATAGCAGCGTGTTTGTGGGCCTGTATGAGGTTCCAGGCAAAAGATCTGCCATTAAAGGCAGCGGCAAGATAGCTCACACCGACGATTTCAGGTGAGGGGCCTCTTTTCGTTATCTACTATTCCTTGTGCTACTTAAGTGCATAGACTGCTCTCTCTAGTCTTTAAGGATCTCTGTGCTCTTAAATATTCTGCTCTTGTATTTCCACTCGATCTTACTTTGGTCCCTCAACTACCACTTTTGGCCAAGTTGCAATGTTTCTTAGTAAATTTGTTAACGAAAATTGTTATGAGACCCTTGAATTTATTTTTAGAGCAAAAATGTAAAATTCTTTCATTTTCTTCTCTATTTGTCCAGTGTATTCTCTTTCTCAATTGTATTTTCTAAACTCACCACCACCATGGGCAGCGGGCGGGGAAAGGATGCGTGGCAGGAAATGGGGTGGTGGAGAAGGGCTGAGGGATGTGAAAAAATTGTGAGGGAGAAGTGGAGAAGAGGTGGTCAATGGTGGTGGATTTAAAAAATACAATTGAGAAAAAATAAAGAAAAAACTTAATTTTTTAACCTAAACAATGTATCATGTGAGGGTGACAATTCTGTTGAAAAGATTTTACCACTAGATTAATGGAAGGACACATCACAACTTGACCGAAAGTACAAAATGTTAGACTAAAACAATTTAAAAGTAAGGAAGCAAAGTAAAGTTATAAAGTGTGAAAGTGCAATGTGTAATGTGTAATTTACCCTTTCTAAAATGAATTATTGTGGTGTTGCTGTTTCACTAATTTTTTCCCCCCGGGTCTTTTGGGCATGCAGATGTTTGGACAAGGCAGCCCTGCAACTGAAGGAAGATGGAGCTGATCCGAGCCCATGGAGGCTCTGTACTGTGACACAAGTGGAAGAAGTGAAGATTCTTTTGAGACTCCTTCCAATTCCAGCTTGCACTATATTACTCAGTCTATTCTTAACAGAGTTCTTGACTCTATCAGTACAACAGGCATATACATTGAATACCCACATTGGTCATCTCAAACTCCCTGTAACATGTATGCCTGTCTTTCCTGGCCTCAGCATATTTCTTCTACTCTCTCTCTATTACACAGTATTTGTCCCGCTCTCCCGGCGCATCACGGGTCATCCTCATGGAGCCTCTCAACTTCAGAGGGTCGGCATTGGGTTGGCAGTTTCAATCCTATCTGTGGCATGGGCTGGGATTTTTGAAAGGTACAGAAGAAATTATGCAATAGAACACGAGTATGCGGCCAGTTTTCTGACAGCCATGCCGAACCTAAGTGCATATTGGCTGTTAATCCAATACTGCCTAATTGGGATCGCCGAAGTGTTTTGTATCGTGGGATTACTAGAATTCCTGTATGAGGAGGCGCCTGACGCCATGAGAAGCATAGGTTCGGCTTACGCAGCCGTAGCTGGCGGTTTAGGTTGCTTTGCAGCCACTATATTGAACAACATTATCAAATCTGTGACGGGTGGCAATGAGGATAGGCGACCATCGTGGCTGTCCCAGAATATTAATACTGGAAGGTTTGATTACTTCTACTGGTTTCTTACGGTTTTAGGTGTAGTCAATTTCTGCGCTTTTCTGTACGCGGCGCATAGATATCAGTACAGAGTAAAGCAGGAAATTGAAATGGGGGGCACAAGTAAAAATGAGACTGTAATCAGTAAATAGCTTATGAGGAAGCATGCATTAGATGGAGTAGGACAAGATCCTGCCTTCCCCCTATGAAAGCTAGCACTTCTGTGAAACATGAACATTATTATTGGTTTTTGTTTTTGGAATCAATGATTCATCTTTCTCAATTGAATGTGGCAAACATCAGCAGTGATTTTGTTTTGTTTTTGCAATAGGTTAATTAAACATGAACAATAATGCAGTGATGCACATGTTTGGGGATTATAATTTTTAATTATTTTAAATTTTCTAATATAATATATGATATTTTTCAAATTTTTGGGGCTGCGGTTGCCCCGCCCGCACCCCCTAGATCCATCCTTGGATGCACCTCCCATGCAGATGCAGTCATGAACCCTTGATATATGTATATACATATATGTGTGTGTGGAGATCCAGACAGATCAACAGCACACCTCAATTCAGAACGCCAATCACACACAACTCAGTTTGTAAATCCATAACAAGACAAACCGAGCAACCACATCGATTGTACCTATGCAAGTGTCAAGACGAAGGTAGACGTTGCCCAGACACTACAAGTCTGTTGCACCAAGCAGTCAAATCAGATGATTGTTGAGTGGTTTTGCTCCTCAAAAATGGCAGTGACATTGTCCACCCACATTCAATGTCCCAAGTCCTAACACAACAAAACATTCTCAACAAATACTAAGACGACAGTCAGTTTAGCAGGTCTGACCAGGAAAGTATCACGAATTTGGGGTGAACCCAAGCCAACCCACAAGTGGAGGTTAGAACGAGCAACAGGTGTCAAGAAACAGAACTTTCATACGTCATTTAAAAACTGCCCGAATATATTGTACAAAGAATGTTCTGTCTAAATAAACTTCAATCCTGAGATATATTGTTGTCTACAAATCAGATACTGAGCCAAAGAGTATATTATTCCAAGAACTCCCAATATCCTAATCTTGATCAAATCTGTTATTATGACTGACGGAAGATTAAGGGGCAATGCCATCAGTGGTGTTGAGTCAGTCTGCTTTGTGTAGCTCCATACAAACCGGTTAAAAAGGATATGACTGGGGAATGTGAGGATGAGAAGGGCCACATTCTTCACTGCAAAAAACCAATCTGGTCCTCCAATTTCTAGGCCCCACCCAGCATTCCCAAGCCATGTGTCTTCCCATATGCTATAAAACGCAGTCAATACAAGGTAGGTTGAAATAACTACTGTAACTGGGAAATACCTCTGTTTGTCCCCGAATCCAGCAACAAAATCGGAGTCCTGGTTGAGAAGCAGTAAGATAGGTGCCAAGAAGAATATTGCACGGTTTGAGCCACCAGTTAGATTGACATTCAAGATTAGGCATATAGCAAAGCACATTATAGTAGCAACATTACCAACTGCTGGCATCCAGGCTCCCTCAATGGCCATCCTCTTGATAGTGAAGGCTTGCACAGTTGAGGCCGCCCTACGCTGCTGCATGAACCTTAACTTTGGAGGTAAAGTGGCAGAGCTGTTTTCACCAGATTGGCTGTGTCTAATTCCACCCCTTTCAAAAGCCTTTTCTCGCATAAGTGATGCCAATTCAAACTTTATCTCCAATGCAATAAGCATAAAAATAGCTGCATATAAACCAAGAAGAGATGTCCTTGCTCCCTCAATGGCAAGTAGCATTGTCAACTTCTTGTCTTCCTCTCCTGCATCTCCAACTCCACCATCCCCAAGTATGCTTTTAATTCTCATCTGGCCTTCCAATAAATAAGTCACAGGAAAGAGAGCCACAAGTAAAGCAAACACCCATGGTAGAATTTTTGTGCTTGAGGCAGAAGGGAAATGGGTGAAGACCACAAAAACAGAAGTGCAGACCATTGTTATGACAACAAGGGCATGTAACATAGCCGCCTGAAGAAAATATTCAGCAGCTATATAAACACCCAGAGCAATCCCCATGGCAATGGAGTAAAATGCTCTCAACTCAACAATATACTTTATGGGAATAATGGAAGTTACTGATGCAAGGGTGAGCAGGATTGCTGCGATAAGTAGCCATGATGGCCACGTAGCCTTTGATGTCATGAAGCCATATATGGAGATATCATCAGCTGATTGACGAGCTGCCTTGATTAGATCAGACCGATAGGTCCATGACAATGGAATTGGGGGCTGCAACAGAATAAAAAGAAGCCCTGTTGCCACAACAAGCACCAGGCATCTCTTAGCAGACTGCACAGACAAAAGGGAGAAAAAGTCTTTTAGCTTAATCCAAGTATGAATTATTACACAAGTTGATGGGAAAAAAAAAACCCAGAAATAAAAGCTTAATGATTCCAAACAAGTAGAGAGAGAGAGTACATAATTGTTGGAAAAGAATTGCAGAACATAACCCAAAAAAGGTAAAAGTAGTACCAAGACATGTGAAAAATGGAGAGAAACTATTGGAACACAAGCCAATCCCGTCACAAAAATACAGGAGCCCACAAGTAAACCATCAGTTGGAGGTCTCCCATGCCACCACTGGAGAGCTTCAAAAATCATTTCACGACAAAACCAGACTGATAAAGCAACCACACCAGCATGCACATATCCTTGCCAAGGTTTCATCTTTGAGGATGCTCTCGACTTGTCTCTACAAAATTAATGAGAGAATTACAAGTCTGTTTTCATATGAAGAATTTAAGTATAAGAAAAAAGGTCATAAATGTGATGAAAATAAACTACTATTTACCTGTAAAGAAGCAATGGAGGAGAAACAGCCAATAAAAGAACAGCAGATGCCCATACCGCATCCTTTGATGTGATAAGCAGCATTGCCAACTTTGAAGAATACAAGCAAGTCAGAATCCAGACTGCCTTCAGTCCAATTCGATGGTCCACATAAAGTCTCCTAACCAGAGCCAAACCCACAAAAGTAGTCAGGGCAATCATGTAACTTGGATACATGACCTCATCCTCCAATCCATAGTAGTATATGCTTGAGTAATTAAAGAAACGATTCTCAATGTAGCATAACAGCAGTGCATGGCCGATCAAGCCAACCTCAACCAAGAAATGAAGTTTTGGCGGAAGTAGAGCTAAACCAGGGACAGCCATTGCCAGGACAACACTGGCAATAATGAGCTTACAGAAGGTCTTTAGAGACATGCCTGCCAACCAAATATTGAGATCCCAGAAATTATGTAGCACGAACCATGTGACCATCAAGCTCCCAAGCACAACAAAGGCAAAATATGATGGCAGACTCTTCTTTGTAAAGAAACGAGCCAAATAGAAACCAACAACTGAAGGGAGTGGAAGGAACTGCAAATAAAGGATGAAAATAACTTCAATTTGAGAGAGAGAGAGAGAGGGAGAATTTAATTATAAGCATTCCCCCAAAAAAATAACCAAACCAACAAACATCAATTATTGCTTGAGAATTTATACTGTGTACATAGAAATTGTTAGTATTATAGAATGTGATAATCGACACTACTCAAAAGTGTCTGTAGAGTGTCCGATATTATAAATTTAAATTTTAATTAAGACACATTAAAGAAGTGTTGGACACTTTTATGAGTGTCCTTAGAGTGTCATGGCCAACATGACACATCTCCTCTATAGAAGTGTTCATGCCTATGAAGCACGGATACGGACACGGATACAGACACGGCCGGGGACATGGCAATTTTTTTTTACTAAATATTTTTATTTTAATATGCGTTAATTAGTTTATTTATTTATTTCCTTTTTTAAATAATGTGTTTTGGTAATTTTTTTATTTTATTTTATATACATTTGTTTTTTTTATTAATATGTATAAGTAGTATATATTATGTTATATATACTTATAAAATAATATGATTTTATTAATATTATCTTTTATATACTTATATATATATACAAGGAAAGGAAATCCCACCTGAACTTCAATTGCTCCTCTCTTACTTCTCAACAAAGCCTGCAGAGCAAGGAAAGCCAATGTCAAGAAGCAGCAAGTCCAATAAGGTTGCAACAACTACCACGGACTCTTTTACAAACAATAATTCACAAAATATAGACAAAATGAGAATGGATGAGTAATCCATGTCATGTTATAGAATGCCCACAACTTTTCAACTCACTAACAAGAAACCAATTACCACACAACTTGAGAGGGGAAAAAAAAAATGCCCCGATAGATATTTTTGCAAGAGGTTTAGAAGGAAGTAGCATTAGAGATTCATAACTTCACTTTCATCTCTTCTAATGGTATGCCAAGAACATGGCACTCTATTCAATACAAATACTACTTATGCAATTCAAGTAAGCTATTCAGTCATTGTTGGCTCAAGATCAGTTGAGTGCGGAGTGCATCAAGTAAGGGTTCATTTGTAGTCTTTTGTTTTCAGTTTGGCTTCAGCCATCCCTTGAACCAAAATAGAAAAATTAAGCCACTGGATCTTGGATTTCATAGGTAGCAAAGGCTTCAATGGACAATTAGGTACTTAGAAAAGATTGGCTGTAGAACTCATCTTGGTGGCCATAGCATTTATCCTTCATTCAGTGCCTCCCAAAACCAATTTAAACATGTCTTTAACTAAAGATAACAAAACAAGACCCTAATTAAATAATACAGAAGAAGGTAGATGGGTAATCAAAAAACGATAGGCAGTTGGAGAGAGAAAGGGTGGTTAGATAGATCATAGCTACCCTCTATCATTCATACCCATTAATGCTCCAGCTCATTCTACACCATTACTTTGTATTGATTATAAAACGACCATTTCAGGGTTTATGGCTACGCTCGTGATCTTGGACATAAAACAACAAACACTCTACAAAAATAATACAAGAGTCTAGTACCAATTCTTGTCGAAAGCTTTCCCCCTCTCGAGCAATCCATCTCCTCTCCTCTGTTAGCTTTGAAATGGTAACTTCAGCCTGCAGCGGTAAATTCAAAAGATCATGAGTAATGGTATTGAAAAGAAAAGCATAAATCACTTCTAAATCCATGAGGTGTATTGAAATGCTGATCACCATCTCATCTAAAAGCTTAAGCTGTTAGAGAGGAGCAATTATTTATATTATATTCTCAAAAAGGTGCATCAAATTTTTAAATACAACAGAATGTTGCACTTTCTTAAGAAGATTGACCCACTCCATTTTATCCTCCACTATAGACAGGCATTTAATCTACAAAATGGCGATACAGCACTAAGCGAAGCCAATTTCACAATTGATGGTAAAACTTTTTCACAGAGCCCAAAAACTATGAAGCACCAACACTTCAAAACAAGTGTTGTGTCCGTGTCGGACACACGAACACTTTGGGGACACGTGGAGATGGCGGGACACATATGGAACACACCACATGGCATGTCTCCTTATTTAATTAATTTATTATCAGGAGAAATGTCGGGGACACTTTGAAGATACACTAAGGACATGCCAAGTTGTCTTTTCTCTCATTTTATTTAATACTTTTGATGAATGTTGAATATTTATTATTTTTTTTT